CCCCAACAATCAGAATGGCTGAAAAGGCATTGTGAAATACGTTGTTTTCTATATAAAATTTGGAGTTCGGGGGCTGGAGAGATAGCATAGCAGGTAGGGCGTTTGCCTTTCACATTGCCAACCTGGGTTCGAGTCCCAGCATCCATATGGTCCCCTGAGCAATGCCAGGAGTAACTCCTGAGTGCAGAGCCAGGAGTAACCCCTGTGAGTGCAGAGCCAGGAATAACCCTCGGGCATCGCCAGGTGTGACCCAAAAAGCCAAAAAAAAAAGTTTGGTGTTCCTCCCCTCCAAACACAGGTGTGACGTGCTGCGTTTCGCTGAGCAAGCAGAAGGAAAGCAGAGAGCTCGGGCCCAGTGGTTGATGCAGATTGCTGGGCCGGGCCGTCGAGCAAGGGAAATTTGGGGGTCTCTGGGACCCGTCCTCGGGCCCAGTGCTCTCCGGAGCCCCTGGCTTGGTCGTGTCCTACGAGTTGGGGGCGAGCCTGGCCTTTGTGCTTGCAGTGCGTTTGGACGGGCAGGTGGGGTGTTCAGGGCCCAGCTGCTGACACCTGATCCCGCCCTGGCTAGGTGGGAGATGGAGATTGGCGGCTGGCCCCGGAGATGCCCAAGGTAACCAGTCAAGGAGATAACCAGAGTCAATCCCAGTCGAGTTGGGTGATAGGCTGAGATAACGCACCGAGCCGCTGAGGCAAATCCTGTCTGGGGACGCTCGCGCACCTTGATCCCAGGCCGGCCTGAACTGGCAGGGGGCGGGGGCGAGTGGGCACCAACCAACCTCGGCATTTCCGTGGCTCGGAGCTTCCGGGCCCTTCCGCTTGCTCTGCTGTTGTTTTGTTTTTGGGTCACACCTGGACATGCTCCGGGGTCAGTCCTGACACTGCACTCAGGACTTACTCCTGGAGGTGCTCTGGGGTCCCTATGGGATGCCGGGATTGAACCCGGGTCAGTTGTGTGCAAGGCAAACGCCCTCCCCGCTGTACTAGAGTTCTGGCCCCATGGCCCAAAACTTAAAGAAAAATCCTTGCTGGGGTTGCCCCGTCCCTGGCGCCCTGTCAGCCTCGTGGGTCTGCACACGGCTTGTGCAACTGCCTCAAGTGGCCAGTGACAAGGGGCGCCCGCCTGGCCTCCTGCTCCCCAGGGCTGCTCTCTGCCCGGTGCTCCCGGCCCTGCAGCCCTCATCTCCTGCCCTGTGTTCCCTCCTCCTTTCTGTGGTGTCCCCCTCCTCTCTCGGTGGCCCTCCCCCTGGGGTCACCCCCCCTTCCTGCATGGTGCTGGGACAGCAGAGCTGCCGGGTTTGTGCTGGATTTGTGCCAGGTGCACGTGTGACCCCGGGGGCTTGGACTCAGGACCTCATGCTTGTGAGGCAGTGCTCAAAACCCCCTCTCGGACATTCCTCCCCTCCAAGCTGAAGGAACGGACTTGACCCACGTTCAGGCTCACACCTCTGCTTCCTGCCGAATCACTGCCAGCCGCTAGCAGGCCAGGACCCGTGTGCCACGCCTGTGTGAAGCAGGGAAGTTCTAGGGCGTGAGCCTGCTAGCGTCTTTGTCATGGACACACGTGGTCCCATCACAGGATTTAGGGTCACGGTCCAAACACAGGAGCATGGGGGTGAGGGGGTCGGGGCATGTTCAGGCCGGAGACTCTACTGGGCTCACACACGGCACTGAGTGCTCAAGTCTCAGGGAGACAGTGAGGCTCAAACACATTTTCTTTCGCGCTGTTTTTTCTTTTTTTTGGCTTTTTGGGTCACACTCAGGGATGCTCAGGAATTACTCCTGGCAGTGCTCAGGACTGGTGATCGAATCTTGGTCAGCCGTGAGCAAGGCAAACCCCTCCCCACTGTGCTCTCACTTCAGCCCCTCCTTTTGCATCTTTTTGTGTTTTTTCAGAATTGATTGACTTCCTCGTAGCGTTTGCTGGCCCTGACGTTCTCTGTAGAGTCCCTTGTTGCACACTGTGTTTCGTGGGCACCTTGGCATCAAGACTTGGCGCTTGCCTGGTGCATGGCTCACCCCATAGGTCCCCTGAGCACCGCCAGGAGTGACTCCCGAGTGAAGACCCAGGAGTAACCCTGAGCACTGCCGGGTGTCCCAAAAAACAAAAGGAAAGAAAGAAAATAGATATCCTTGCCCGGAAGGGTAGCCCAGGGCCAAGGAGCCTGCCTTGCCTGTGGCTGACCCCACCTCACCCTGTACGTCACCCCCCCAGGCCCTGCCAGCATGAGCCCCGATGACTGAATCAGAGTCGGCCCTGAGCACCGCCAGGTGTCCCGTCCAGGTGTCCCGTCCTGAGCCCCCAGGTTAGGTCACTCCGCCCTCCCCACCTCCCCACCACTCCCCCGGCCCTGCTCACTCATCCTCGAGGGGACCCGCACTCATTCAGCTTGTGCTCCCATCCGAGCAGGCCAGGCCAGACTCCTCTGTACAGCTCTCAGGCCTTAGTGGGCTGGGCCACTCCCTGGCCACGGTGCGGCAGGTGTTGCTCACAGCACTGCGGTCACAGAGAGCAGGGCTGTCAGGGTCAGGCTCAGGGCCTCTGCCCTGTTGCTCTGCCCCTCGCCCCCCACCCCGCCCACAGATTTTGTGGCCCGGCTCCTGAGGAGGGCCCTGGGCACGGTCACTGGGTCCAGGTCCCACTCGGGGGACGCCGAATGACCTCAGTTGGAGATCTGTAACTGCCAAACATTTGTCAAACGTTTTCTGAAACCACTTTCTCAGGGCCCAGGGGTCCAGAACTGGGCCCCGCAGGAACCAGAGGCACAGTGGCCAGCTAGTGCTGGCGTCTGCAGGGCAGCCCTCCGGAGCCTCAGCAGGACCCTGGCATCACAAAGGGTGGCGCCTGCCCCTTTAAGAAGGGCCCATGATGCCCTCCTCCTTGCGGAATTCTCATTCTACCTTGGAACATTCTAGACTCCAAGTGCCATTTTCAGTCTCTGTAGGAGACTGGCACGAGCCTGTTTGGCAGAGCTCAGTTCTTTAACCTGCGAGTGCAGTGTGACACAGGTGAATCTGAGTCTCTGGGCTTTTTGCCCGCGTGTGGGCGGCTTTTTTCTCTAAAAGTTCTTTAGTGTATGATAGTTTTTAATCTTTAGTTCGTTTAAGTTTTTTTAGTAGTTATATATATATTTTGGGGGGCTGGGTGGGGGTGGGGTGGAGTGGCCATACCTGGCTGTGCCCAGGGGTCACCCTGGCCAGCTAACGTCCCTGTGCTGACGGAGATCGAGCCCAGGACAACTGGATAGAAGGCAAGTGCCCTCCCCACTATCCTGCCTCTCTGCCCCCTGCGGACTTTTCTATTCAATGTGGAATGACTCTGAAGTCAGTGGGCCCTCATGTGGGGCTGATGAGAAGCAGAGGAGAAGATGTCACGCCCCCGGGACTGGCTGGAGTGCTGGCACTGATGAGCGCGATGAGCCCTGCCAGCCCCACAACGCCCACTAGGCCTTCCCAGGGTCTCGGGCCGGAGTGAGGGGTTGCCGTTTTCAGGGAAAGGGAGTTGATCCTCGACCTCCTCAGGCCCCCGGGCCTTTGTCCTTCTCGCAGAAAAGCATTTCAGGAGATGAGCATGAAGCAGGAACATTTTATTTGGAGGCTTTTAGGAAGGGGAAATGAGGGAGGGAGTAACAGGCTCGAGAGAGAGTGCGGCTTCTCCAGAGGTGCAGAAAGCCACTGAACACGTTAGGTTGCCTGGTTGCGTTCGGTCCGAAAGTCCACACCTCAGGAGGGGAGAAGCCTGTGACATGACCGACCTCGTAGGCAAGAGCAGTCCCTGGGCTCGGGCACACATGAGCGCCCTCCCTTGGTTCAAGGGGGCTAATCTCGGGTTTTCCCCAGGCTGCCCCTGGTGGGAGTTTCTAGCTACCTAGAGTCCGTTGCTAGGGTGGTTGCCAAGGGGGTAGAGTTGAGTGGTCCAAGGTCCTCTTAGAAATTCCTTTCCTGGCCTTTGTTCCTATTCCCTCGGGGGGTCCAGCCTGCTCTGGGCCTCCTAATGTGGGTTAATTTTGACCAGACCTTGGGTCCCGTGCCCTCAGGTGGTCTTTTGGTGGCCATGAAGCTTTTGTTGACTTCCTCGGAGTTCCATTGCCATGGCGACGCTTCCCCCATCCACCTGTCTGCCTCAGTTCTGTGGGTTAAGAAATGCAGTTAATACTGGCTTGTGGTTATCAAACTTGGGCACCGTCACAAGGAACGAAGGAAACGCCAAAACCTCCTTCGCTCCCCTTTGGCGCAATTTTTTTTTCTTTTTGGGTCACACCTTTACTCCTGGGTCTGCACTCAGGAATCAGTCCTGGCAGTGCTCAGGGGACCATATGGGATGCTGGGAATCGAACCTGGGTCGGCCATGTGCAAGGCAAACACCCTACCTACTGTGCTATCGCTCTCCAGCCCCCGTTTGGCGCAGTCTTGCTGGGCCCTTTTCCCTGGCAGTTCTCAGCCCATAGAAAAAAGTGTGCGTGTTGCTTGCCTTAGCTTCTGTGTGTAACCCCGGGCCTCTCACACACATACATACGCACACACGCACACACAAGACCAGCCATCACTGCTGAGTCGCCTCCCGGCTAGTCAGTGTCTGGACGGGAACATGGTCAGTGACACTCACAGTGCACAGGGATGATTTCTGGCTCCTGAATGTGTTTGGGGGTGATGCCAGGGAGGGCGTGAGAGTCAGCTGCCTGCAGGGCAAGTACCTGTCCCCTCTGCCCTCTGGCCCCAAATCTGCAGTTGTTTGTCTGTTTGGGATTGAGTTTTTGCACAGGAATGACACTTGGTGGGCTCAGGGGGCTGTGCGGGAGGCTGGGGGTCGCACTCGGGGTGGCGAGTGTCAGACTGGCAGCTCTCTGGGCTCCGGAAGCTGCTGTGGTCGCTCCCCTGAGACAGACTCTCTCCTCTGCTCTTCAGAGATTTATCCCTGAGAACGAGTGCGCCTCAGAAGGCCCCACAGTGGGCTCGACAGTCAGGGCCTGGTAGTGGCCGCGGCAGCGTCTGACCACCTGACCATGAGTCTGCTGAGGCCCAGCGGGCTGAAGGCCCCCACCAAGATCCTCAAGCATGGGAGCTGGGCCCTGAAGGTGCCCTCGGCCGGTAACTGCTCTCAGCCCGGGCCAGGGGAGACTCATTCCCACCAGGGAACCCCCTCCCAAGTCCTCGCCCTGGAAGGACTCCCTGAGCTGTAGGCACGTTCATGGCTCTGGGGACAGCTCTCACACAGGAGTGTCACATTCTGTGACTTTAGTGTCACGGCAACTGGTGTCAGCTGAGGCGACCAACACGCTCCCTCCTAACTGCTAGCCCCCTCGCCCGGGCTTGGGGACAGGCTGAGGGAGGTGGACTCACCTGGACTAAAGGGCCTCATTGCCGGCCGTAGCCACAGGACAGTGGGGAGGGCAACCGGCACCCCATGGGACTCTCCAGCCTCAACCTCACATGAGTGACCCTGAGCGCAGAGCCAGAAATAGGCCCTGAGGACTGGCTGGGATGCTCTCCCCCTAAAAGTAAAAGAAGATGGGCCAGTGTACACAGCAGAAATAAGACACTGGGTTAGAGCTTTCGCCTGGCTTGGTCCGTAGCATCACGGGGTGTGTCCAAAGATTTCCCCTCAGCTGCCCAAATATGACTGTGGCCTGAGATGCTGCAGTAGGTAGGCACGTCCCCTTCACGGTGGGCCCAACCAGGCTTCGCCACAAGCAGCCCCCGGCATTGTCTGGGAGAACCCCAAGCACTGCTGGGTGTCCCTCCCCCCCCACCCACACTTTAACTGGACCTGGACAGGCCCTTCCTGACCCTTCTGACCCTTCTGACCCTTTCTGCTGTTCCAGCGGCTGCTCCCGTTGAGAAGTCCGTGCCTGGGGAGAAAACCCCCAGCGCCCCCTCCTCGGAGACGCAGGAGGAGTTTGTGGACGACTTCCAGGTCGGGGAACGAGTCTGGGTGAAGGGGAACAAGCCTGGATTCATCCAGTTCCTCGGGGAGACCCAGTTTGCCCCTGGTCAGTGGGCCGGGATCGTCTTGGACGAGCCCATCGGCAAGAACGACGGCTCGGTGGCGGGTGTGCGCTACTTCCAGTGCAAGCCGCTGAAGGGCATCTTCACCCGGCCGTCCAAGCTGAGCAGGAACTGGCAGGCTGAAGATGAGACCAACGGCCTGCAGCCAGCGCCTGCTGCCCCGGCCACACCGCCCCGGTCGGCCTCCCCGGCCCCTGCCGCCGCCCCAAAGGTGCCCCAGCCCTCCACAAAGGAGGCACCGGCCGCCCCTCACATCAGCAACCTGACCAGGACGGCCAGCGAGTCCATCTCCAACCTCTCGGAGGCTGGCTCCCTCAAGAACGGGGAGCAGGAGCTGAAGCTCGGGGACCGGGTGCTGGTGAGTGCCGAGGGCAGCGGTCACGGGTGGGTGTCCATTCGCCTGTCTGGTCCATCAGCTTTTGCAGACTCGCGGTTTGGGTGGAAGCACGAGCAGCCGGGATGCCTGGTTCTGCAGTTTCCAGCATGATGGATGCGTGCAGGGATGCTGCCAGTTTTACCAGTTTAGCCAAAACAGGGTGGAGGGGTCATGCCGTGGGGAGGCCGCATGCTTTGCATGCCTCTGACCCGGGCTTTAAGTCTTGGTCCCATGTACAGTCCCCCAAGCACATCCCGGAGTGATCCCTGAGCACCAAACCAGAAGTAAGCCCTGAGCACTCTGACTGTGACTCAAAAAACAAACCAACGAACAAAGTTGGAAATCGGTTCCATTGCTCTGGTTTCTGATGTTCGTGTTTGGGGCTTCACAGGGCTCACCCCGAGCCGCTCTGGGCCATTCAGTGCCCAGCTGTGCGCAAGCCCTGAGCCGTCTCTCCAGACGTGTGTGGTTTGGTGTTTGGGCCACACCTGGCCGTGCTCAGGGCTTCCTCCTGGTGCTGAACTCAGGGATCTGGTAGGGCTCAGGGGACCAACTGGGGTGTCGGGGATGGACCCTGGGTAGGCCACGGGTAGGGACCCGTCTCCGGAACATTCTCAAGAGTATGTTTTGCTGTCTTGGTTGCTTGATCTTCAGACTCAGCACCTGCTCTTGTGTTTCTCTGAGCAACTACTGGAAGGTGGGGGTGAGGGGGCACCCCCGTGAGATGAGTTTTGGGTGGGGGTCACCAAGTCCCTGCACATGGCATCCTCAGTCCACCCCAAGCCCATTCCTCTGCACAGGTCCTCTAAGCAGAGGCGCTTGACTGTAGACAACTGTTCTCCCCCAGCAGAAGCACTCAATAACACTTTCAGAACCCGTGGGAAGCGGCCGGGAAAAGTCCCCTTGGGGACGTCTGAGGCGGGCGGCTCTGACCAGACAGACTGGGGGCTGGCCCGGAGCCAGTGGCTTCCCGGGGACCACAGGGATGGCCATCGCCAGACCGGTGTCAGAGCTGTGGAGGCCGGAGAGGAGAGCTGTGAGGAGACCTGCCTGCAGGCGCAGGGTGGCCCTCGGAGGGTCCTGGAGGGTCACGGTCAGGGTTCAGGGATGGCCAAAGAGTAACACGGGGAGGGAATTGGAGCTGGAGGAGACACACGGTTTAAAGACTGTTTGGGGGGGCTGGAGCAGTAGAACAGCAGAGAGGGTGTTTGCCTTGCACTCAGCAAACCCGGGTTCCCCGGTATCCCATAGGGTCCCCCAAGCATAGCAGGAATGATTCCTGAATGCAGAGCCGGGACTCACCCCTCAGCATCGCCAGGTGTGACCCAAAGACCCAAAGAAGAAAAAAGACTTTTTTTTTTTTAACTTGCATTCACAACCGTCCACACCCGGACACAGGGACACCAGTGTCGTTGGAACAAGGGAGCGGGGACACCGCCACTGGCTCTGCGGTGAATAACTCTGATCAGTTATTCATTTATTGGTGGTGGTGCTCAGGGCTGAGTCCTGGCCCTGTGCTCAGGGACCACATCCGGGCAGGTGTGTGCAAGGCCAACGCCCTGCCCTCTGTCTGTGCTGTTTCATCGCTCCATACCTCAGCTAGAGCACGCCTTTCAAAAAAAAGTTTTTGGGGGTTTTTTTGGGGGACCACAACCAGCATAATGGCTGTTTTCTGAAAGAAGAAGGGGAAAAAAGAAAACCCAAACTCTTTCTTTGGTCTTTTTCCTAATTCAAGGAAGGTTTGCTTGGCACTCCACGGCCTAACGCAGCCGGGGTCAGGAGGCCGTGGCGAGTGGGGGCTGGCCCCGGGGCACTGAGGCGAAGCTCCCGTGCAGGGCTGGCGCCCTCCCGGCTCTCCAAAGGGCCTCCTGCCCTTTGCCCCATTCTTCCCTGCGCACAGGAAGTCCAGGTTCTGCGCCAGCTGGCCCCAATGTTTACGGGACTGACCTCCGAGGAGCCCTTTGAAGGCTCTGACGTGGCTGTTCCAGCCTCCAGGCCTGTGGAAGACAGTCCCCTGCCCCCGGCACTCCCTGTCACTGGCAGTGGACAGACTGCCCCCATGCTTGTGCTACTTTGGTTCTCTCTGGAGACTCAGGGACACTTAGTGGGGTCACTGGAAATGCCTGGCTCTGACCTCAAGTCCCGTCTGTGCTCGCAAGTAGGCAGGGGTAGCAGAGCGGGACAGTCCGTTGCTCTGGTCAGTCTTATGGTGTCTCAGAGCGGGAGGTCACTCTGTCCGTCCTGTGGCGTCTCAGAGCCCAACCGTGAAGAGTTTCTCTGGGCTGATGTGCGGTGGTTCTCCTGGCCTTGGGAGATCACTTTCCCTTCTCTCCAGCTGAGCTCTGACAGAATGTTCTGGAGACAGGCTTGCAGCAGTTTTGGGCAGATGATATTTCCAGGATATGATGTCAGGTTCTTGAGAGAATTGACTGACTTCCAGTTGTGCTGTTAGAGTACGCTGTTTCCGGGTCGGGGACGGCATGTTCTGTGCCAAATTCTTCACCGATGACCAGCTGTGAGACAGGAACTTTGCAGCCTCTTCTCAGCCCAGGGCCGCCACCACAGCCACCTTTCTCTTGTTCTTTTATTCCTTGTCACACTCACAGTGCCCAGGGCCCACGCCTGGCCACGGAGGCTGTGCCAGGGCCTTTGCAGATGGCACTTCAGGACTCGCAGAGACAGTCCTGGGTGACGCTGCTACCCCTCATGCTGCGAGTGACCCCCGAGCACGTGAACCCAGTCCTACCCCAGACCCGAAAAAAGAAAACCGCGCTCTCGGGCATTATTAGTTGAGGTCTCTCTCTCTCTCTCTCTCTCTCTCTCTCTCTCTCTCTCTCTCTCTCTCTCTCTCCCCTTTCTGTTTTGACTTTTTGGTTTTGGGGCCACTCCTGGCAGTGCTTATGGGTCACTCAGGCTTTGCACTGAGGAATCACTCTTGGCGGGCTAGGGGGACCATCTGTTTTCTCTGTTTTGCTCTGCATCCCGGGGGCCAAGCATCAAGCCAAGGCATAGTGAAGGAGAACTGGAAAATTGAAGTCCGCTAAGATATGAGAACAGTCATTTTCCTTTAGCTGGTTTCTGGCTTAATTGTTCTCCAGCGGTGGGGTTGCCACGGCTCCGCTCCCACACCCGCGGGGCAGCGACCCCCTCGCCACACCAGGTGGCTGGCCTGGGTTAGAGATTCCCAGGGGTGTGGTCAGCCAGGCCACCAGTGACAGCGAGTGGGTGTGAACGCCGCTGCCTTGCATGGACACTGAGCAGCAGCGTCTGCTCACTCTGTAGGGGTTGCAGGGGGAAGTGGCACCTTGACCTTTGGGGTTTCTTAAGGAAATCCTTACTCAAAGCCAGAATGTTCCTTCTTGGGGGTGGGGGCGCTGTGCACAGTCCAGGGTGTCTGACCTGCGTCCCTCCGACAGGTGGGAGGCGTGAAGGCCGGTGTGGTGCGCTTTCTCGGGGAGACGAACTTCGCTAAGGGGGATTGGTGTGGTGTGGAGCTGGACAAGCCGCTGGGCAAGAACGATGGCGCTGTGGCTGGAACGAGGTGGGTCCTCCTGCCCCCCCCCCAGACAGCCTGGGGCAATGCACGGTGCCCGGGAGGCGCTGAGGGGACTGCAGGCCACTTCACTTGGTTCTTAGGCGGGGCCACTTCCGGTGGCACTCGGGGACCCTGCAGGGATGTGGGGACAGCCTGGGGCTCCCACATGCAGCTGTGCTCAGCCCGCAGAAACCCCCTGCTGTCGCCCTTCAGATGCCGGGGAGGCTGCTTGGAATCGCCCTTGGTTTGCGCGGTGGAGGTGGGCGGCGTGCGAGGGAGTGTGTGTGTGAATGTATGAATGTGTGTGCTTCGGAGTTTGGGTATGTATGTAGGAGGGTGTGTGTATGTGAGCGTGTGAGTGTGGGGCTGTGAGAGTGTTGGTGAGGGCATGAGCATGTGAGTGTTGGTGGGGGTGTGAGCATGTTTGTGAGGGAATGAGAGTGTGTCATTGTTGGTTTGAGAGCGTGCAAGTGTTGGTTGGGTGTGCGTGTGTGTGACTGTGGGGCTGTGGGAGTGTTTGTTGGGGTTTGAGTGTGAGTGTGTTTTTGTTGGGGTGTGAGTTGTTTGTGAGTGTGGGACGTTGGGAGTGTGGGAGTGTTGGTTGGGGTGTGAATGTGTGGGAGTGTGGGAATATCGGTTGGGGTGTGAGTGTGTGTGTTAGTTGGGGTGTGAGTGTGTGAGTGTGGGGCTGTGGGAGGGTATGAGTGCTTGTTGGGGAGTAAGTGTGTGTGAGTGAGGGGCTGAGGAAATGTGGGAGTGTTTGTTGGGGTGTGGATATGTATGTATGAGGGGTGTGTATATGAGTGTGTGACTGTGGGGCTGTGGGCTGTGGGAGTGTTGGTTGGGATGTGAGCGTGAGTATGACTGTGTTGGGGTGTGAGTGTGTGGGAGTGTGGGGCTGTGGGAGCGTGTTAGTTTGTGTGGGTGTGAGACTGTGGGACTCAGTGGACTCCTCGGTCGGCGCCTGTCTCTCTTGCCAAAGGTGTTTTTTGTCCCTCCCGTCCTCGTGGTCCGCAGGTACTTCCAGTGTCAGCCCAAGTGTGGCTTGTTTGTTCGCATTCACAAAGTCACCAAGATCGGCTTCCCCTCCACGACACCGGCCAAGGCCAAGGCAGCCCCCGTGAGGCGTGTGATGGCCACCACCCCCGCCAGCCTGAAGCGCCGCCTGTCGGCCTCCTCGCTCAGCTCTGTGAGCTCCGTGGCCTCATCCGTGAGCAGCAGGCCCAGCCACACGGGACTAGTAAGCAGCCCCCTCCCCGCCCTGTGCGATGCTCAGGCCCCCACAGACTCCCAGGCCCCAGGGGCGAGAGGCGGAGCAGGACTGGGTGGGCTGAGCAGCTCCGGGGGGCAGGCGAGTGGCTTCCCAGCCACCACCGGTGACAGGAGCAGGGATGGGCCTTAGCTCGGGTGCTCAGGGCTCAGGCCGCCTTAGGGATGAAGTGGGGGAGCTGAAGGGGGCGTCGGAGGGTCAGAGAGGGACCCAGAGACTCTGGGGAATGCTTGGCGCTTGGCGTTGCCTGTTTGCTCTCTCCATCCCTCCCTGCTCCCTCCTGTCCCTCTGCAACCCTGTTGACACAGAGGGGCCTTGACTTCTGTTCATTGCGGGGCCGCAAGTCAAAGCTGGGGCCTCGTGGCTTCTCCCCTCACGTCTCTCTGAGTCCTAAACACTAAAGTGTGTCCGAATATGCAAGGGTGTCCTGAGATATTGTCCACAGGGAAATGGGCCCACAATGGAGATGTGTCCCGGGGGGCTGGCTTTGCTGGGGGCTGCGCTTCCTGCCACCTCCTCTGCTCCCTGCATTGACCCTCGTTGCGGAAGAGGAGTGAGTGAGTGTGTGTGCAACAGAAGATACAAAACAGATGACACGGGAATGGGAGCCAGGAGGCCACGCGCCGTGGGCACAGGCCTGGGGCCAGTCCTGTCTCGCTCGACCACCACCAGGTTTCCCTGCCCTGCCTCCATCCTCACGTCCGACTCCTCCTTCCCCTCGCCTCACCATTTAGGAGGGGAGCAGACTCAGAAGCCCCTCGCCTTCCCTCGCGAGCCAGCCCGTTTGTGGAATTCGGTTTTCTTTTTCTGCTTGACTGTGGGCCACACCCTGCAGTGCTTCAAGGGGCCGTTTGCAGTGCTGGGGTTGAGCCGGGCCTCCCACCTACGAGCAAGAGCCCCACGCCTGAGCCGTATCTCCAGCCTCCCCCTGCTGTCTTGTTTTGTTCTGTTCTGGGGTCACACCTGGCAGAGCCCAGGGCTTTCTCCCGCCTCTGTGCTCGGGATTATTCCTGGCGGGCCTCCGGGATTGAGCCTGGGCAGCGCTGGGGCTTCGCTCTCCAGCTCTTTGGCCCCTGCCTTGCATATCTTTACGCAGGGTGGAGCTCACTCCTAAACTGCACATCACCGTTAGCGTCTATGACAGGAATATAGAATGAGTCTGTGTGACTTCATGGAAGTATACCTCGACAACATAATTCCATACGTGCACACACAAGCGATCACACACACACAGCCACTCATACATGTACACGTAGTGCATACCGTATATACACAGGCTGATGGGTATATACACACAGGCACGTACATGCATAGACACAACGCGCACACGCACACAGGTGTGTGTAGACATGGCCACAGGAGCATACATGCACGCATACATACATGCACACAGGTCCGTGCGTGCCCTGTGGGAGCCTCCCGGTTCGCGTGTTGGCTGAGTTGCTCTTCTGAGGTACCAGGCTCCCACAGAGGGGCTGGCCTTGCTGGCATGGAGCCTGGGGCCTCACACACCATGCACAGGGCAGAGGCTTTGGCATCAACATCCTGAGTTCAGTTCGTGGCCCCGACCTTGCCCAGCCCCTCTGCGCCCGCCTCCCCCCATGCCAGGGGTGCTGCTTTCTCCCTGCTCCGGCGCCTGAACCTCACAGTCTCGTCTCCATGGTTGGCTGAAGAAAGCCCTTCCCTCCCATGCTGGTTTCCTCAGGGAGCTGTCTCGGGCTCAGGAAGCGCGTGCGTCCGGCCTGCCCCACCCGCTCAGGCCAGGAGGCTCAGGGAACACCGCCGCCCGCCTTTCCTAGTTTTTATTTTTGTTCTTTGATTTTGGGGCTCACCTGGCAGTGCTCAGGGACTCCAGGCGTGTTGCTTGGGGGCTGCTTCCGGTGGAGGGGGTTTGAGCCCAGGTCTTGGTGCGAGACCCCCAAGGCTGCCAAGCTCTTCCCAGCCACCTCACGATATCCGAGTTCACTGCAGTTCCTGGGAGCACTGCACATGGCTGAACCCGAGAGCTCGTGTGCTCCTAGAAATTTTATTTGTTTATTATTTGGTTTTGGGGCCACACTCAGGGGTGCTCAGGGCTTATTCCTGGCTCTCTGCTCTTGGGGTCACTCCTGACAGTGCTGGATCTTGAACCTCTGAAAGCACCTTCCACCCCCCCCAAAAAAAAAAAAAACTCTTTGGCCCTGGGGACAGCATTTAATCTGACCAATATACTTTAAGTGTATTGGGGAGTCACGGCCAGATCCTTACGCAGAGGCAAGGATGAGCTGCTCCCCGGACAGAAACAGGTAGCTCGAGAGCTCCCAGCAGGCAAAGCAGCAGTGGACAGCCTGGGCCCTGCTGGGCCCGTCGGTCAGGAGGCAATTGGCAGCAGCTCAGATGACGCAGGGGAGCGGCAAGAGCAGGGCGATGGGTCAGGCGTGGCCGGGCAGAAGGAGCGGACGTCCTCGGCCACCCCCGCCCCAGCCCCCACCACCGTGTGCCTGAAGAATGAAGACCAGGTTCCGCTGTGTCCCCGCCTGCAGGGGCCGTTGTGCCGCAAGGAAACTGGGTCTGCAGAGCAACCATGAGCGACCACGAGCCCAGGACAGAACGGACAGGACCCCCGGTCCCCGCGGCCTTCCAGCCCACCCCCTCCCCTCCTCACTGTCTTTGCCTCTTCTCTCCTTCCCTTTGTGCTTGGTCTTCCCCTTAGCTGCCCTTGCTGTCCTGCTCGCTGGGCGTGAGCCCTCACATATTCTCACCCACCACTTGTTCCTTTTTTTCCTGGATTTTGGGCCACCCCCCAGCAATGCTCAGGACTTACTCCGGGCTCTGCACTCAGGACTCACTCCTGGTGGGCTCGGGACCCTATGGGGTGGGTACCTGGGATCCAGCTCGGGTCAGCGGCGTGCAAGGCCAGCGCCTTCCCCGCAAGTTTACCATTCTAGCCTCTCATCCCCCCTTTCGAAGGCAGATGGCACAGGGGTCTTTTATGGGGTCACACCCAGTGACCCTCAGGGGCACGGGGCCATTCCCAGAGAAAAGAGTCTCTGGTTACTGCTGTTCAGGCCTGGGGCGGGTGCTTGGGAGAGCGAGGTGAGCTGGAAGGAAGAGGAAGAGAGAAGGGCCAGGCTGCCCTGGGGAGACCCTGACGGACGGACGTGCAAGGCTGAAGATGCTGGAGCCGGCCTCAAGCTCAAGCCAAGGGCTCAGCCTTAAGGAAGCTCAGGCCAGAGCGGGCTGTGGAGGGGGCTGCCTCCGGCTCTGCAGAAGAGTCTCTGGATTCCCACGAGGCCCGAGGTCAGTGGAGCCCAGGTCCCGTCCAAGGATCTTCGGGAAGGTTTCAAGACGCTTCTGCTGAGAGTCAGTGGCCCATATGCACGGATGCAGCGCTCCTCCATCTGCTTTGCTGAGGATAGCCACATGCATGCCCGCGTCCGCCGCCCCCACCCCCTTCACGTCTCTTTTTCCTTTCCAGTTGCCGGTAACTTCCTCTCGCTGCGCCCGCAAGATCTCCGGCACCACCGCCCTCCAGGAGGCGCTGAAGGAGAAGCAGCAGCACATTGAGCAGCTGCTGGCCGAGCGAGACCTGGAGCGGGTGGAGGTGGCCAAGGCCACGAGCCATGTGGGGGAGATAGAGCAGGAGCTGGCCCTGGCCGGGATGGGCACAACCAGGTGACGTCTGTGCAGACGGCAGTGCCGGGTCCGAGAGACGCCTGCGGCAGAGGCTGGGCGCGAGCTTGGTGCAGGCGGTGCAGGGAGAGGCCGTGGGTCCCCGTCTGCCATCGTTGCGGTGGCGTCCGCCACGTGGTTTGATCGCATGCACCTTCTGCTCGCCCCGTGGGGGTTCAGGGAGCGCCGAGTTGTCCCCGCCGGTGCTTTCGTGCTGTTTCCCTTCCCGCCTTCCAGAAATGCTGCATCTTAGGTGGGAGACGCGTTCAGCGTGCCACGGTGGCAGGTGGCGGTGCCAGCCCACAGAGGGCTGTCGGGGGCGGGCGAGGACACTCACGCGCAGTTGCCTCCACAGCACATCCTGGAGCTGGAGGCCAAGATGGACGAGCTGCGGGCCATGCTGGAAGCGAGCGACTGGGAGAAGGTGGAGCTGCTGAACCACCTGGAGGAGGAGAAGAGGTGAGGCCGTGCCAGGAGCTGGGGGGCTGCCTCGGGTGGGGTGCTCCTGGCCTTCCAGGGCTGTGAGAACCACAAACCAGCGGGTGCCCAGTCCTAAGAGTGGCCTCATTGGGGGGGGATGGGGGGAGCTCACTGGAGCCCAGCCACCCCCGGCCCTCCCTGCTGTGTCCACGTGGCCTGGTGTTCAGGAGAACTGTGCTGGGTGGCTGGGAACTGTTATATCCCAGTGGGGCCCTGTGGGAGTCCCTGGGGTTAAGTCCTGGGCGGGAGGAAACCTGCAGCACCCATGGGGCACGGCAGCAGACAGGCAGGGCTCAGGCCAGGCTGCAGACAGACGGACATGGGGTGCCGGCCAAGACCATCTTCTCAGATGGGCTCCTGGCAGTGTGGTGCCCAGGGGCACTGCCAGTGCCCGGCTCAGCCCCTCAGCTCCACATGCTGAACTCGCCACGTCCCCTGGGAGCCCCTCCTACCCCCCGCCCTGGCCCCGAATCATTTGCTGCTTCTCTCCCAAGGGCTCAGTTGTTGTCCCGATGCGGGGACAGGCGCTGGCTGGGAGGGACTGGCATGCGCACCTGGTCAGTCTCTAACCACCTCTGTTAGCTGCGAGGCAGAAAAGGCTGATATGGCACTGCGTCTGGCGTTGGCTCGACAGAGCTTCCTCCTGTAGCCTGCGGGTACCACCCAGTGCTCGCAGCCGAGGGGACTCGCTGACTTTGTTTTTTTTCTTTTTGGGTCAACCCAGCGATGCTCAGGGGTTACTCCTGCCTCGGCACTCAGGAATTACTCCTGGCATTGCTCAGGGGACCATAATGGGATGCTGGAAATTGAACCCGGGTCGGCCACGTGCACGACAAATGCCCTGCCCGCTGTACTCTCGCTCTGGCCCTCGCTGACTCTCTCAGCCCTCCTGTGTGTGGAGGCGGGGGCTGGGTCAGGCGCGCATCTACAGGATGGTGGCCCTCATGGGGGGCAGCAGTGACGCCCCTCACAACTCTCCCTCTCCCCCACAGGAAAGTGGAGGACCTCCAGTTCCGAGTCGAAGAGGAGTCCATCACCAAAGGCGACCTGGAGGTAAAGCCCGGGCAGGTCAAGAGGCTTGCAGGGTGCAGGCAAGGATGCGGGGTGGCCTGGCCGACCCCGCCGGGACCACTTCTGCTGGAGACTCCAAATCAGACAGGGATACCTGATGTCATGCACCTGGCAGGGCCCGGCGGAGGCACCTCTGCTCCTTGGGGCCGGAGGCTGCTGTTGATGAGCGTTTTTCTCTCGTTCTGACAGTTGGGTCTACGCCTTTGCCTCAGCTTTGATTTTCAGTCGAGCAGCACAAATCAAATCCTTTAGAACCCCAGTTTTTTGAAGTAGGCAGGGGTCACACCCACCACCTGGACCCCTGGCGCCGTGTAATCCCATCAGCGGCCAAGACTCAGAGACTATAAAATCCAGATCCCGGAACCACGCAGCCGCGCGACATCTTATCAGAACTTTTGTTTTATGACACCTTATTGTCTCATTCCTATTTTGGACAAACTTGCAGGCTATCGAATGTAGCCTGCCCACAGGGCAGAGTCTGGCAAACTCCCCGTGGCATACCAAATATGCCAAATACCAGTAACAATGATGGGTCTCATTCTCCTAAATAGCCTTGAATATAATCTCACGGCTAGGATGAAAGAGACGTTACTGGGGCCTGCTCGAGGCAATCGACGAATAACAGGATGATGAAATGAAAACAATGAAATTCCTTAAAACAAGAAAAAGCAAACAGTCAGTTTGCAAAAGAATAATTTCTATTTCTGCTTCTTTTCCTTCCTGTTTTAAGTTCATGGAAATTTTGTTTTCCCACCAGGAGGTGAAGGCCCTGCAGGCGGCCTCTGAGAAGCTCGCCAAGGAGAACGAGTGGGGGAGGACCAAGCTGGACCACGCGAACGAGGAGAACACGGACGTGATCGCCCCGTGGAAGTCCAAGCTGGAGACAGCCATCGCCCCGCACCAACAGGCCATGGGCGAGCCGAAGGCGTTCGTGAGCCGGGGCGTGGGTGCCGAGGCGGCCGAGCTGGCCGAGCTCAAGATGCAGATGGAGAGGCTGCAGTTCGAGTCCCAGCAGGAGGTGGAGAACTTGAAGGCCCAGCAGGTGGCTGAGCGTGCAGCACACGCCTCTGAGCTGCAGACGCTCAGGTCGCGGCTGGTCAGGATGGCCCAGGAGCAGAAGAACAGCCTGGAGGCCGCGCGGGCCAAGCTCGACCAGACCGAGGACCAGCACCTGGTGGAGATGGAGGACGCCCTGAACAAGCTGCAGGAGGCGGAGACGAAGGTAAAGCACCTGGAGGGGTTGCGGGCCATGTGTAGTCAGCAAGCCCAGGCCCTGGCCGACGCCACGGCGCAGCTGGAGGCCACCCAGGAGAAGCTCTTGCAGCTCGATGGGCTCTGGAAGGCCAGTTCCGAGGTAAATTGGGAATGGAGAAGCTCAGGCAGCAGCTCCAGGTGGCTGAGCAGCAGATTCAGGAGTTAGAGAATGCAAAGTGGGCCGAGAGCGGCAGGTTGGTACCCGGGCACCCTCGCCCACTTCCACGCTCGCTCCCTGCATGCTGTGTGTCCCTCTGCTCGCCGCCGTGTTCCGGCTTGGTGCTGACAGGTCTCCCGGTCACGTCCCGTGCGGTACCCTCTGATGGGACTGAGAACGTGTCGGCACGATTCTGGGGCTGTCATTGGTCCCCAGCACCCGGATGCCGTGCTAGCCTTGGCCCCGGCTAATCGGGCCCGTCTGGGGTCTTTCTGAAACTGAGAACTCTTCACAAGGCCAGTGAGAAAACAAGATAGGAGCCCCCAGAGCAAACCTCGGCCCCCCCGCCTTGGGCCCCCTGTGTACTCACCAAGTCCGCCCAGACCCTTGGGCTCGAGTCTGGCCGCAGGAGTCTTTCCCTGACCTTGCTGACCACTTGCTCGTGTGACTGGCTTTGCCATCCTGTCCCCGAGGCGCCTCAGTTTCCAGCTGGTGCTCAATGCCTCTGAACCTCTGAGCTCCCTCAGGGCTGGTGACGTGGCCCATCTTGGTATTTCTCATTGCCCGCCCCTCCCTGCCTGCAGCACAAGCCCCCGCCCAGCCCTGCAGAGATTTCATCCCTTTCAGTCTCTAAGGGGTGCTTGGGCCAAGTCCGCCTTCCAGCATGGCCTCCTGCTGACCACGGGCATGGACTCTCATGGTAGCCCTGACCCTGCGGAAGGACAAGACAGTGAGATCTGGGCCAAGCCGAGGAAGCTGCAGTTCTCACCAAGGAGCCCTGAGAAATGCCCTTTTCCTCCTATAGGATTGTGGTGGCAGAGACGTGCCCTCCCAGCCTCGCCCGTCCCCCCCTTTCTCCCCCGCCCTCCCGGCGCTGGGCGCTTTGTTGGAGAAACTTCTCTGTTGGCCAAGATGGAAGGGATGTGGGATTTGTAGACAGGAGTGACAGACATAACAGAAGGACCCAGAGACCCCCGGGAGTTCCTCTCAGGACTCAGGACTCCTTAGCTGGCATTCCAGAAACACCGGCTGAAACAAACAGAATCAATTCCTAGGACACAGCAGGGAATAGTTGAGCCACTTGTTCGCATCAAGATGTAACAAACGTCAAGTTCTGGTGACTGCTGCCTAGTGGATTAGAGGTTCTTCATTTTAAATTTCATATTGAAACCCCTCAAACTTTTAAAGTCACAGACAAGAAACTACAAGAAAGTAAATCTTGGGGGCCAGAGTGATAGTACAGTGGGAAGGGCATTTGCCTTGCACACGGCCTAAGTGAGTTCGATCTCCAGCATCCCATAGGGTCACTGTCATTGTCACTGTCCTCCCGTTGTTCATCGATTAGCTCGAGCAGGCCAAAAAAAAAAAAGATAAACCTTTTCTTCCCTCCTTCCCCTCCCTTTCTCTTTCTTCCCTGTTTCCTCCCTCCCTCCTTCGTATCCTTAGCCTCCCTCCTCCCTTGCTTACTTCCTTCTTCCTCGCCAAGCCATGCTCTCGGCTCTGGGGTCCTCCCACCCAGCAGTAGCTGGTCTTTTCAGCTTGTGGACCGATCACAGGCTCGCCCAGTGGGGCTGCAGTTCAAATTCGGGCCTGGTGTGTACTCCAGCCCTTTGTGCCGTCTCCCCGCCCCTGGAAAGTCAGTCTTTCTCATAGGCTTTCTTATTTTCAGGTCACTCCAAATGTAGGTCTAGAAAACGCCTCTGTTTGAGTCATTTTCAATAACCACTAGACAGTCATCACCAGAACTGATGGCGCCAAAGCCTTGGCTTCGAGAGCTTCAGGCAATCACGCTCACCTCACGCCTCTTCTTCGGGGTTGTGTTGGGTCATGGGCTTCTCATACGTGTTTCCTGTTTTGTTTTCCCCTTCCTGTTCCTGTTCGTCTTTTTGGTCCATTCACTCCATCCTTGTCACTCTGGTAGGCCGATAGCCTGGCCGAGGAGCTGCAGGGGAAGGAGCTAGCGCTTCGTAGTCTTCAGGAGAACTTGAACGAAGTCAGTCGAGTGAAGGAGGCTTTGGAGAAAGAGCTTCGGAGTTTGGTGAGTACCAGGGGAGTCGGACGCTGATCTTTACCTTGCTGAGGGTAAAGCAAAGCCTCCTCAGGCGAGCTCGGCCCCTATCGCCTCTGAGGCTCATGAGCGTGTCAGCTCGAAAGCCCCAGGGACTGCGCGAGCCCCCATTGGGGCAGCAAAGGTAGGTGCGCTGCTCTGTCCGCGCTGTGCCCTCCGCCTCTGCCTGATCAGTGAGTGGCCAGCGATGCTCCCTGAGTGCCAGGCTCCTTCCTCCCCTCAGCAGCGCCTCAGGCTCCTCTCCCGTGCCCCTGCCCCCTCGGCTCTGTCTCCCCTGGCAGCCGGGAGCACTGGGGGCTCACATCAAGGGGAGGGGGTGAGAGACATGCACTGGGAAGGCCGCTTTTCTGGAACCTTCCAGACACCTTCCTGCACTGGATCAAAGTGTGTTTTCTGGTTTTCTTTTTAGGATTTTTTTTTGTGTGTGTGTGTGTGTTTGTTTTTTTGTGTGTGTGAGTTTGGGGTAGATTATTTTTGTTTTCTGGGGTTTTTTTGTTCCTGTTGTAGTTCTTGTTGTTTTTTGTCTTTTTGTCACAGTTGGGGGCGTTCAGGGGTCATTCCTGGATCTGCACTCAGGAATTACTACTGACGGTGCATCCCCTATGGGATGCTGGGGATCAAAGGCGGGTCATCCTTGTGCAAGACAAACACCCTCCCCGCTGGGTGATTGCTCTGGCCCTGGGGTGTGTGTGTATATATATATATATATATATACATATATATATATATATTTTGATGGTGGTGGTGGGGGACTAGTGCCATGCCTGTCAGTCCTTGGAGGCGACTCCTGGCTTTGTGCTCAGGATATTCCTGTTAGTGCCGGGATTCAGACCAGGGCCAAGTGGCCTTACTCAGTGCTCTCTCTCTCCCAGCCCCCAGATGATCACCATGTTTATTGGGGCTCCCCCCAAACTCGGTGGTACTCCTAGCTCAGGGTCTAACCGACTGGCTGTTCGCGGGCGCCTGGACCCTGTGCCAGCCCTTCAGCCCCCAATATCTATGTTCTAAGTGCAAGTTCATTTTCATGAACATTGTGTGTGTGTGCTGGTGAGCAGAGCAGAGTCGCCCGTGTGTGTGCGGGTATGTTTATGTGTTTGTGTGCGTTGTGTGTGTGTGTATGTGTGTGCGCGCGTGTGTGCTGGGGGCAGGCAGGAGGCCTGCGGCTGATGGTGGCCCCCGGCTCCCCGCAGGGGGAGAAGGTGGACGTGAGCCGCAGCCAGTCCCAGGCTCTGCAGGCCGAGCACGCCAAGTCCACCACGGAGAGCCAGGCGCAGCACGAGGAGGCGCTGCAGGCCCTGCAGAAGCTGCGGCTGCAGGCGGAGGAGAAGCTGCAGGCGGTGCAGGCGGAGAACGGAAGCCTGCTGCGGGAGGTGGCCGAGCTGAAGACGCAAGCCGACAAGGCCAAGGTGTGTGGGCGCAGGGCCGCCGTCTCGGGGGCGGGCTCTGTTGGGGGCCTCGGCCTGCAGCCTCAGACACTTCCTCCGCCCGTGGGCGCCTGTGAAAGCCGGAAGGGGGTTGCTCCCGGGGCGCCCGGCAGAGCACATAGAAGCCCAGGGACCCCAGCTTGGGTTGTCCGTTTTGTCTTTAGCTTGCTCAGTAAGTTCAGGCCTTTGTGTTTTCACTTGATTGCTCAAAGGCATTTTTTAGTGTATCAGAGAAATGTTAAGGTTCGAAGCTCAGTGGGGAGAAATAGAGCAGCTAGAATAGTGCAGTGAGAGGGCACTTGCTGTGCACGTGACCCACCGGGGGGATCCCCAGCATCCCCCATGGTCCCGCAAGCACCCAGGAGGAAGCCGTGACCTCTGCCGAGTGTGAACCCCAAAACAAAAAGGAAAATAATGTACACACACATATATGTGTGTACATACATAACATGTACATATGTGTACATCTTTATATCCATATAATAAGTGTATTTTAATTCATATGTACATATTTTGATACATTTTTAGTTTTCCACGCTTGGTCCCATGTATAGTTTATACATATATGTGTATGCCTATACATATATGTGCTTGTATATATATGTGTGTGTATACATATCTATAAGCCAATGCAAAGAAAACGGAAGCGAGCTTACATCAGAGGAAACCAGGGCTGCTGAGTGGCGGCCATGGCCCGCGTGTGTGTTGGTGCCCGGCCTCTTTCCACCACGCACCAGAGCCAGGGCTACATCTCCTCTCTGGACCACCTGCACAGCCCAGTTCTGTGGCCAGCAGCCTCGTGTACATGCTCAGGTCAGCCCCATTCCGGTAACCTGACCGTCAGCGGTCAGCTGCCCAGCGCACACCAGTAGCCTGCTGCAGCTCATGGCTGCTGAGCTGGACAGAGAAGATAGCCCTTGCTGCAGAAAGTTCTGGAAAGTACATGGCGGTTAAACTCTGGTGTGCATTGAGACTCAGAAAAGAAAACGCACAACCCATTGCTGACGGGCAGGGAGAGCAGGTGAGGGAGACCCTGGCCCGTGTGCGGCCACTCCTCCTGGAGCCTCTGGGCCCCTCCCGAATTACTGCAAACACTGCCTCCCATTGTTCATCGATTTGCTCGAGCGGGCCCACTAATGTCTCCATTTTGAGACTTGTTGTTACTGTGTTTGGCAAGCAAAACCTGTTGGCTTCAGTCTCCAAAGCTTGGTGGATTAGTCTGGATTTTCTATAAAGTGTATAACTTTTGGGACTAAGTCCATTTCCTGCCTCTGTTTGTCCCTGTGAAAATCGTTTGACCAGCAGTGGTTGCTTTTGCCTTCCCCTTCTGCACAAAGTTCAAAAACAAAATACTTTTTGTAGTTCTCTGAATTGTACTGAAAACTAGTTTTTTAATGCATCCCTTCTATGACAGTGATGGATTTTATAATAGAATAATTGAAGTGGGGGGAAAAAATCTTATGCCCCAACGTCAAGATCCAACTGTACTTAAACCTTCCGGGGAGCTGTCAGGAATAATTTAAGACGGCATTTCAAAAATAAAATGGCTGATAGTAAGAATGGGTAGTGCTGCCTTGTACTCGGCCAACCCGGGTTGATCCCCAGCATCCCGTATGGTCCTCCGGCCCTACCAGTAGTGATCCCTGAACACAGAACCCTGAGCGAGCCCAGAACACCTCCAGGTGTGGGGCCCCCATCCATAAAAAAGGCAGGTAGATATGTTGACCCTGTGAAGCTGTTTCAGCCTCTCCATCCTGCGTGTGTGTGTGCGTGTGTGTGTGTGTGAGTGTGTGAGTGTGTGCGCGCGCATATACACGCGTGTGCAGGTAAGACTACTCTGACATTTTCATTTCTGGTATTTAGGCCACATTAAGTGCTTGGCTTGCTTGTGCCTGCTTGATCTCATTCTTGTTTCCATTCTTCCCCGCTTTTGTTTCTGTAGTCATTAACTTCCCTAATAACCTCAGAGGAAATTGAGCTGATGTCGGAGGATCGCAGGGCCCTGAGGTCAGAGAATCAATTGCTGGCGAAGGAGAAGCTCTCTCTGAAGTCAGAGAGAGAGTCATTGCTATTGAAATTGAAGGAAGCGGAGGCCAAAAACTCTTCGCTGCGGGAAGAGCAGAGGAAGCTCTGGCTGTTGAACCAAGCGATTCTTTTCGATAAAGAGAAGGTCATCGAGGCCAGGCGGGCCGCAGAGAAGCTGTGGCAGGAGGAGCGGCTCGGCCGAGAAGCCCTCGAGGCGGAGAAAGAGAAAGTGCTGGAAGAGGGCAGGGCGGTGCAGGAGGAGCTCCAGAGGGTGCGCGCGGAGAACGACGCCCTGCAGGTCGCCAAGGTGGGGCTGCAGGCCCTGGTGGAGGAGCTGCAGATGAGCAAGAGCGGCCTGGTGGCCGAGTGTAAGAAGGGCCTGGAGGAGAGGGGCCAGCTGGAGGAGCATGCGAAGAAGCTGGTTCTGGAGAACCTATCCCTGGCCAAAGACAAGGACAACATCATCCAGAAGCTGCAGTGCTCCTATGAGGAGCTGGCTCGGGATCAGAAGTCGCTGGTGCAAGAGATCGCGGAGCTCACGGCCGAGAAGAAGTCGGTCCTCGAGAATCAGTCGGCCCTCGAGGCGGCGCTGCAGGAGGCCTGGGACGCGGCCCGCAGCCTGGAGAAGACACACGCCAGCATGCTGCAGGCCAAGGTGGCGCTTGACGCCGAGCGGCAGGAGGAGTGCCGGCGGCTGGCGGAGGACAGGCTCGCGGCACAGCAGGCCCTGGTGCAGGAGCGGGAGGCCCGTGCCCAGGAGACCCAGGCGGCCGCCCACGAGGCCAGCCAGCTGCGAGGCCGCCTGGGGCTGCTGGAGCAGGAGGTGGAGGAGCTGCGGGCGCGTGCCCAGGGGCTGCAGGCCGAGCACCTGGACCTGGTGGAGGAGAAGGCGCGGTCAGACAAGAAGGTGGCCGAGATCCTGCGGGAGAAGGAGGAGCTGGCCGGCAGTTACTTCCTCCTCCAGAAGGAGGTCAGTCGGCTGGCCCAGACCAGCAGCCACGTCTCGGCCAACCTTCTGGAGGCCCAGAAGGAGAACCGCGGTCTGAGGAAGGACAAAATCAGGCTCGCCGTTAAAATCAGAGAGCTCGAGACACTGCCGGCATTCACGGTAAAGTGGAGCAGGCCCGACCCCAGTTGGCCCCGGGCACCCCCTTTTAGCGGTTAAGAGGATTGCTCTTTGTCGGCACAAGGAGCGGTGGATCCCCACGGAACCCGTGTGTCACGGGCTGTTTGCTGCGGGCGCAGGGACAGCTCGTCACCACGTGCCTGCTGACCTCTAGGACAAGGCATAAGCTGTGAATAAAACCAAAAAGGACAGTATGTTCATTTCCGGGGGGAGTTCTCACGGAAGATTGCACTGTGGCTCTTCAAGACGTAAGGGAAGTCATGAGAGAGGCACTAAGTTGTAAAGTAAAGCGGTGTCTTCCAGGGGTACTTTGAGCGGTTGCCCTGAGTCTGCTCACTTGGGACTTGGGGGTGCCCTGTGCCACCAGCAGTGTGCCCGGTGCAGGGCGGCCTGGA